CGGTATTATCGCTCTCGCACTCGGTACATTAAGGGAGACGTGAAATTCGGCATCTGCTACCAACACTTCGCCGCTATTAAGAGACATCGAGGAGTAGAGAGAGACAGAAGAGAAAGAGAGAGAGAGAGAGAGAGAACACAGAGAGGAAAACGGTGGTAGAGCGAAGGGCAGAGAGAAAGAACTATCATTGGACAATAATCGCTTTTATGGGTGTTCGTGTGGCGAACCGTGATATTAGATAGCCGACCAACGAGTGCGCAGAATCGCAGTTCTCAAATCGCAGGAACTCTCTCGGGCCCGGAAACACCCTCTAATAAAGTTGGGAAAAGTTTCTCCCTCGCGTACGCGCGCGCGCGATAAAAAGTAATGTTAGAGATATTGCGGGTGCGTTCGGTTGGAGTTCAATTGCTTTTAACGACGGGATCACGTTCGATATGTACTTACGAAGCTGAATCGCGTCGCGGCGCCGAAGTATCATTTCATTGGAATCGAGTAATCGAAATTGCCGTTTCGCCTGGTACACTTTTGACGAGATTATTTGTTCCGGAATCGAAAGACCGTAATTCCACTTTGCGACGCTTCGCGTTTGGCATTTGATAAGAGAAAACGTACAATCTTTCGAATTTAATTATATTTTATGAAATAGAAAGATGAAAAAAGGAAAATATTATTAAAATATGTGCAGTCTGGTTTCGTCTGGTACACTTTTGGCGAGATTATTTGCTCCATAATCCCACTTTATAACGCTTCGTTTTTGATATTTGGTAAAAAAAAAAACACAATCTCTTGAATTCAATTACATTTTATGTGATAGAAAGAAAGATAAAAGAAACAAAAGAAAAATGTTAAAATATATGCTGGAAGTATCCTTCAAAGAAAAAAATATTCGAAGACATTTCGAGTCTTCGTAATGTCTTACAGAAAGTTTGAAATGTCAATAAACCTTCTCGCGGAAACGTGTCGACGTTTAATTACAGATTTCCGAATCCGGCGCAACAATTCGCCGTGTTCACGAGAGACGCAGGTTTCACTCGGCGAGTTTATTCGTCGCGAATACCCGCTGGATTCTTATCACGTTGTTCGCGATCGCTCAACGACGGCGGCGCGACGGGAGGAGAGCGACGCGGCGGCCGGAAGAAGGGCGCAAAATCAGCTTTTGTATGCGGATTGCGGAACCGCAAGAAACGTCAATTCACTCTCTTCTCGGCTCTCACCCTCGTGTACGTAGTACGTATACGTTGCCACGGTCTCCGCCATGTGTATGTATGCGACGCTTGATCCTTAGATTTCCTCGTAAAACCAGCGACAGAGTGAGCCTCGACCAATGGCGGTCGAAGCATGGCGCTCGAGGTGTGAATTATACATGAGGATATATCCCTACACAGTCCTCTCCGCCGTGTATCCCTTCCTCGCGCTGCCCCGCACCCCGCGCGCGCGTTGTCTCTTTCTTGCTCCCCCGTATATATTCACCGCGACCACCATTCATCCGACCGGAGACCGCTTCTTGCTCGCCCGATCTTCTCACGCCCGCCAGTAACATCTCGATCTCAAAACGATAATTATATTTAGAACTTAAAAAAAGAACAGAGATTTTAATCTGAACCCCGAATCAATTTATTTGCAATCTGCAATTTTTTCATATAATTTCTGTCGCGACTCAAAATAGAATTTTATTTAATTTTATGTGTTGTATAATTGAAGAAAAATATTTGAAAAAAAAAAGCAGAATACGCGTATAAAACATACATTAAAATATACGCATACGTATAAAAAAATCCGACATGTAAAATTATAAATAAAATCTGAAATGAAATCTGATCTATCCCGAAATCTGACACGAATTATATAGCGTTTAAAATAAACTTACAAAAACAAATGATGTTCGTTAAAATTATGATTTTTAATCTTGTATGATAGATATTAAAAATATTCTTTTTTATAATAATAATAATTTTTCTACCATTACTTTTTACCCATGTTCACTGATCACCGCTCTCACTCAAATAAATATCGCTGCTTATAATTCAATCTTGTCACGTCAGTAACATTTTGATGTTGTCAGTTACACGAGCGATCTCACACAAAGCAATAATTACATAAAATTAAAAAATTTGGACGCTAAATCAGTTTATTTGTGAGATTATCGTCCGAATTTCGTTAGTTTTCTTTGAAACAAATAATATTTACTAAATATATATTAGTTTTTAATAATATTTATGATATTTCTTTTACGATAATTATTTTTATCATTTTCCTCTTTTATATAGCCATTATGTAGACATTATTTCTCGTTTATACAATAGAATGAGGAGATACATAATTTATAATATTTATTTTAAAAACGACTTGAGGTTCAAAACATAATCAACAAATCAATAATTTATATTTTCATTTTTATTATTTTCCTTGATTTTATTCCCTTTTAATATATAGTATTTAGTATATCTAATCCTTCAATTGTCTTTGGTACGAGAAACATTTCCAACCTTCTCTCCGAGTGCCAGTAACAATTTGAGGATTAAGCTAGGATCCGTTCCGCCCCGCGTAACTCGCGTGTTACAGAGCAAACTTAATTATCTCGGATAGGGCTGCGCGTGCACCTTCAAGTATCGACTTGCAGGCGTGCGTTTTACATATATGTGCATCGCGGGCAGATCACGGGTGCGGTATCGACGTATCGCGTTGACGTACACACGAAGAAAGAGCGAGCGAGCGAGCGAGCGAACGCGGGGCTGCTGGTGTGCGGCAACAGAGGAAGCTGGAGTCAGGCACATAATATCCCCAAGGGTATACGGGGTTAATCGGGCGATGCCAGTTCATTAGTCGCACACGTAGGTGTATATGCAACGTATAGCGGTGCACACACGCCGCTATATGGTGGAGGACCGTGCGCTCGGCGTGACGCTAATGGAACTAAGCGATATATCCGGAAATGGCGCGCCGTGTGAGTTAGTTTCATTCGATTTCATGAGCGCGCGCCGCGCGGCCCGGTCGTTTTCAGCGAACGCGCGAATGTCCGCGATGGCACACGGCAGCCGAACGCGCGCCGCGGCGCCATCGAGGTTTTTATTCCAATTCCGCGCCCCCGTCGTCGCCCCAAATCGTCCGTATTTGAATAAACGAATGAGCGAAACGTATAAAGCGTTTATTGACGTTCCGAGCTCTCGAACGATAACACGGAAACAATGGCAGACGTAGAAATATCCTTATACATATTGAAACTTACATACAGAGTTATATTATATGTTTTATATAAAACATTGTGAACTAGAGTAAGAAATAAAATGAAATGTTTAACACAAGAATAAATAGTGTTTAAGAAATTTCAATTTTCTATTTAGTGCGATTTTATTATCATCTATAATAGCGACAGATACACGTAATGCTATATGTAATGTCCAAGTATCTAGCCTCCATAATATTAAATATAATTAATGTTAAATATATTTAATATATTGCTTTAAATATTAATCAAACATCTTCTAAGTGAATCAAATACTTAGCAGAAAGACCTAAGCGTTTGGCTCCTCCGACGGCTCTTTCACGATTAGGATAATTAATCGTGAAGCTAATTACGCAGAGTTAATTACGCGAAGCGGCGAGGCGTATTATTATTATTATTATTATTATTAT